GAACCCAAAAATTTGGGGCCTCACTGGGTCTTAATGTTCACCCACCCACTTTTCCTATCCTTGTTCTGTAGGCTCTGCTTCCTCTAAAGAGAATCTAGTTAACTTAAAAGTGAAAAAGCCTGCCAGACCTATTAGCAGAATATCGAACCTGTGAAAGAGCCACTCAAGTGGTAATGAAGCTATTTAACAGGCATTTGCCTACCACAGGTATATACTGTCAGTTTCTGAATTTACTGTATTTAGTCTACAGGACCTTAGGTAAACATTAGTTTAAAAATATTTCATTAGTGTGTTGCTGACAATTATAAAATCGCATCTCTAAAACATCATCATCCCCTCCTGCTACCACAAGGGGCACCAGTTTAACAATACTATATAGGACCCCATAAATCCTAAGGACGACCCTGTTCATGCCCTCAGTTGTACTCTTTAGAATTGTCAGTTATTTAATGGCTGGTCAAAACCCCCATCACCTCTTGGTATTTGTAACACAAAATTATGTTTATCTGCTTTTTTTTTGTGGGAGAGCTTGTGCAAGTGCCTCCTGAAATGTGATTATTCAGTGTGGGAGCAGGGGGGAGAAAGCAAATGAACCACAAATGATAAAACATGTTACTAACCTTTCTTTTGTAGTCTAAGGTATTAAGCATTTCCTGCAACGTCACCATTTCCTGTTTCATCAGGACGCTGTTTTTGTCACCCTGTTCTACAGGGGGAAGAGAAGAAAAATCATCTTGTAACCTCAGTGTAAGTGTATGTGTTTATAATGGATGGGGGGGAAGCCCTAAACAGGTAATATCATGGCAGCTAGTAAAGAAATGTACTAATGTTTGTAATTAGAGTTTATATAATTTCAGTTGAATAGACTGATTCTAATATGAATTTAAGAATTCTTATAGGAGCTGAGTATCTTGGGATTTTTTTCTTGTGTGGAACAGGAGAAATATAGGAAAGAAATGAGTAACAGAAATGATTAGATTCTTATATATCTGTGTATACTCTTATTTTATTATATAATTCTGGTTCAGATGGGATTTATGTATTTGTGGTGAGCCATTATAAAATTGTGCCCAGTGCCATCAATAATCATAGTAAAATTCTTTTGAAGCTAAACATGAGCCATGTGTTGGGTTGAGGAAATGTTTGTAGGTGGGGGATGCATGCAAGAACGTTTGGCATTTGGGAGGGAGATTTTACGGTGCTCATCACCATGAAAATTTTGGAAGTTGTGAGTACTGGTCACTAGGGCTACATTTACACTGCAGAGTTTTTGTACAAAAACAGCCATTTTTTATGCAAAAACTCGCAGAGCGCCCACACTACAAGCGCATTTTTGAGCAAGAAAATTTACAGTACAGGCAGTCCCTGGGTTACGTACAAGATAGGGACTGTAGGTTTGTTCTTAAGTTGAATCTGTATGTAAGTCGGAACCGGCGTCCAGATTCAGCCGCTGTTGAAACTGACCAGCAGCGGCTGAATCGGACACGCCTGGGGCAGAGCAGCTGGGGTGCTGCTGGGTTGGTCCCGCAGCGCCGCTCCTCGGTGCTACTGGACCAACCCGGCAGCACCCCAGCTGCTCTGCCCCAGGTGTCCCCAAGTCAGCCATTGCTGAAACTGACCAG